TGTTGGGGGGGGGTCTGTGCGTTCCCCCTGCTCTGAACGGGTTGGCTGTGCCGGCAGATTCGCTGGGGCCTCTCGCAGCCCGGAGGGAACGGGGAATTCTTCGCTGGAAGTGAGCAGGGCCCAGGTGGCTCTGAAGCCCGGGGTGGTGGTTGCTCGCAGGGCCCGCAGGGAGAGACCTCCCTCCTGTGGGGCCGGGCACAGTCCGGTTAGCAACCAGTTAGCACGGGTTAAATAGCCACTGCTAGACACAGTGATTTCACTTAACTGACTCCAGCTCACTGGGCTGGCTTGCCAGTGTTACCAGTGTTGGCCCTGCTGGGCCAAAGGAGCTGGATGAGGCCCAGAGGGAGCAATGGCCACAGTGTCAGCTGTGTTTAAAGACAGGTACTGATCTGTGGGGCTGCCCCCATGGGTTTCCAGAAGAGCCTTTTGGCTCTGTGTGGTGTTTCACTGACCCACAGCAGCAAATGTGGCGAGGGCTGGTGTGTGTGTGTATCCCCACTTGGAATGTTTTTCAACAGTGAAACGCTGAAGCAGCGTTGGCAGCCTGATTGGGAGAGCACCTGTGTGGCTTCTGCCCTCTGGGCCACCCAGAACACACACACACCTGTGGCAGGTGCTTGATTGAGCAGGGAAACATGCAGGAAGAAATACAGAAATCACTCAAATTTATTGTAAGAGTTCAGTTAAATGCTTCAACGTTGGTGGGACCACCGTGAAAAAGGTAGAACTGGACAATTCCTACATGCACTGATCATAAAAGAAGTGTTTGTGGCTATTTTGTTGCCTTTTTTAAAAAAAAATATTATATCTGTGTTCAAATTTCTTGAAATACCTGTGGTGGGCACATGAAGTGTCATGGGATGAATCTTCTTTTTTCATCTGCAGGATCAGAGTTTCCAGCACTGTCAGAAAACAGTGTTAGAAAGAAGTTTAAGGCTTATTGAGGCTCTTGGCCTGTTTCTGTTGCTTAGCTGGTCCCAGCCAGCTGGGAGGAGCTCCAGGTGCTGGGATGGCTGATGGGAGAGCAGCCTCCACGGGAGTTTAGTGAAATTAGGTAGAGGGAAAAGCTGCTTTTCTAAAGAAATTGTATTGAAATCCAGTGGCACCTGGGTTTTCCATGAGGTTGAGGATGAGTTCTGTTCTGTTTCTCCATGTTCACAATATTTCAGTGCGGTTCCTGTTCTTGTGCCTTTCTGTGGCTCTGCTACAGGCTCAGATTTGAGAGACCCTAAGAGAGGCTTGTAGCAAAACGAATGCACTTGTTTTCCCCTGGGTGTGTAGAACAGCCTGCTTGCTGACTGCAAAGAGGCAGGATCAAACTTCCCTGACTTTTCTTCATGCCTCACTCAGATCCTCTTGGTAATAATATTGCTTCCCATCAAGGCTGGGGCTGATATTGTGTCAGCCAGTCTGTTGGTGAAGGAGAGTCTTCTGTTCTTCAGCTTCCAGGAGAACCCATCTTACCACCCTTCTCTCATTTCCTGACACTTTCTGCTGGGACTGTCACATCAGCTGAGTTTGTGCAGCTCGGCCTGGAGCCGAGGCCTCCCAGCATGGCCAAGAGAAACATAAATATCAACAAATACATAGTTACTGTCAGACATCAGATCATGCTGTTAAAAACCAGGGCATAATAATCCCTGCATCAGGGTTCACCACATGTTTTTGTCACATTGTTTGTTTGTCCTAGGTTTTTAAACTTGCCTTTCAGTTGAGTTCCAGGCTGTTGTCACTTCATTTGCTGAAACTTCTCATACGGAGGCAACATAAACTGCAGTTTAATTTAGGGCAATGTCAGAACTACACTGATGAAACAACAGTAAAATTTTGGCCTTGGGCTAAATGTAAGGTGTTATGGGCTTTCTTTTGAAGTTCTGGAAAAGCCCCTGGGGCTTCTCTGCAGCTCTGTGCATGAGGCTTGTTTCCTAGGGGGTGTGTTGGGAAGATGATGGTTGTCTTTAGCAGGTGTGGGCTCAGATTTTCATGTCAGTAAGCAGTGGAAAAGTGGTGGTCATAGCTGTAGAAATTTGGGGCAGCAAAAGTGAGTATGGAGAAGTGCCAGGAAGGGAAAAAAAAATCCCAAAATACTTTGTTCGGGTCATTCAGTGCCAGTGGTTAAGAATAATAATTTTCCTTGGGTAAAGTCAAGTAGCCATATTTATCTGCCCATTAGGTTGGTAATTGTTCTAACTCACACCATTTAAAATCTTTATTGACTCATTATCCTATTGCCAGTTGGTCATTAATATTTGTATCTGCATCATAGTGCAGCTCTGTGGTTTCAAGCAGATGGATTAAAGCTAAAAGTGGCTCTTTTTAAATTAATTCATTTTTGTATCAATTAAAGAGTCATAATTACAGATAGGTAGGACCTTTATAACTAATTCAAATTGGTATTATCCTTTCCTGAAAGAGAAGTTTAAAATCTCTTAATGCATATGTAAGTCCAACAGGAGTCTTAAATACCATTTTGTTAATTCATACTAAGATAGGGACTCTCATAATGTGACAGCTGACCTCTTCTCTTCAGATTGTCCTGCTTCATCATCTCCCACACTGTTCCAGCAATTAACTTCATGTAACATCATATAGTACACACCAATAAAAAGCGTAAGTAAATATTTTCATTTGCTGTTGGTTTCTTGTGACTGAAGCCATTTCGAATCCTCTAAAACTATATTTGCTGCATTATTTTTCTTGTCCTTTGCCAAATTCTACTATGTGGTTATGTGAGTT